TTGGTTGCTACAGAAGCAGTAAAGCCCAGACCGATTTGTGGGAAAGAAGATACACAATGATCAGACGTGCGAACAATGATAAGGGCATCCATTAAGACCGAGTAGACTGCTTATCACTAGGACTCACAATGAGTGGACGGGCAGAGGATGTTCAACATGTTCAATGTCAGGATCTGTAAATGTTCTACGTGAGACTGTCTATACAAATTCAAGATAGACTGAAAATGGGATTCATTGCATTTCTACATGGTTGCAAGACCTATTTGATTCATGGTGCCCAGAGATTAGTTTTTGCTTATTCCTCCACAGAATGTGGCTGGCACTAGCTAAGCCAGCATTTATTCCCCATCCCAACTGCCCTCAAGGACGTGGTGTTGAGTTGCCTTCTTGAACCACTGAAGTTCATGTGGTCAGACGCAGCAACAGTGTTCTTAAAGAAGCAAATTTCATGATTTTGAACAAGTAAAGTGAAGAAATTTCAGTACAGTTCCAAATCAACATAGTATGTGGTTTGAAGGGTAATGTGCAGATGATAGTGTTCATGTATATCAGCTGCCTTGTCCTTGTTGATAAGGGGTCACAGGTCTTAACAGTGCTAAGGAGATTTGATGGATTGTTGCGGTGTATTTTGTAGATGGTACACACTGCTACTACTGTGCATCAGTGATGAACAGAGCATATGTCAAAGGTGTTAGACATGGTGCCAATTAAGCAGCAAACTTTGATCTGGATGATGTAGAACTTCTTGAGTTTTGTTGGAGCTGCACTCATCCAAGCAGTAGACAGTATTCCATTACACCCCTGACCTGTGCCTTGAAGGAAGATCGCTTTGAGGAGTTACATGATGAGTTAGTTATCAAAGAAATTCTAACCCTTAAAGTTACTCATTGCCACAGTATTTATATGATTAGTCCAGTTTGGTTTCTGCCAAATAGTAACCGTAGGATGTTGATAGTGAGGGATTCAGTGATGGTAATTTCATTGAAAATCATGAGGCAATATTCACTGTTTGAAATAGTCATTCTCTGGCAGTTGTATGGTGATAATGTTATTTGCCTCTTTATCAGTTCAAGACTGAATGATGTCCAGGTCTTGCTCTATTTGGACATGGACTACTTTAGTACCGGAGGATTCAGGAATGGTGAACATTGCGCAACCATCAGCAAATCTCCTCACTTCTAACCTTATGACAAAGCAGATGAAGATATTTGGGCCTGTGATACATCCCTGAAGAACTCCTGCAGTGATGTCCCGTGGCTAAGATAATCAGCCTCTGATAATCATCTTCGTTTATGCTTGGCATGACTAACCAGCAGAGATATTCACCAATTCTCAATGATTCCCATTTTGTTGGTGGAAATAATCTGCAGTAGACCATTATAATATTGGGTCACTGGGTTTTTCTTGAGCCAGTCTGTGAGATTCTAACAGCAGAGAGCAAGAGGCAGCCAGTCTCCAACATACAGAATGCAGGTAGAACTCAAGCTTGAATTGAAGAGACTAAGCTGATGAAGATTTAAACAAGACTAGATTTGCCTAGCTGTGCCAACAGGAGAAATCTCAAGGCCAACTTTCACTATTAATGTCAGCTTGGAGATGAGAAGTTAACTGGCTGGAAAAGTAAACAGGATGAAAATTGGGAACTATGAATAGCTATTAACAGGTTCTTGAAGAATGAAGTATCTACTTAAGGTACAGAGTAAAGTATCCCTGTGATGTGGTATTCTGGTCATTTTAAAATTTTGTTACAGGCTTTTTTCTGGACTTTAGACTACGAGTTGAATTCTACTATTGAATAGTTTTAAACAATGTTACTTTTTACTAATTATGCTAAATGTCTTAAAATATGAAATTAAAATACCTTTTTAGAAATTATTGGTTTTTTTAGAGAGTTCATAAAACTAGTTCATAACCCTGATAGTAAACACTGAGTATTAAAAGCTACATTCCCCAAATGGAGAAGGAACTAAGGCATTCCACTCCCGTATCTGCTCCCAGGATGAGGCATTCCACTCCCGTACCTATTCCCAATTCCTTCGCCTCCACCGCATCTGCTCCCAGGATGAGGCATTCCACTCCCGTACATCTCAGTTGTCCTCATTTTTCAAAGACCGCAACATCCCCCCCTCAGTGGTCGAGAACGCCCTCAACCGTGTCTCCCACATTTCCCGCAATTCATCCCTCACACCCCGTCCCCGCAATAAGAACCAAAAAAGAATCCCCCTCGTCCTCACGTACCACCCCGCCAACCTCCGAATCCAACGAATCATCCTCCGACACTTCCGCCATCTGCAATCCGACCCCACCACCAAAGACATCTTTCCCTCCCCACCCTTATCTGCTTTCCGGAGGGACCACTCTCTCCGTGACTCCCTTGTCCTCTCCACACTCCCCTCCAGCCCCACCACACCCGGCACTTTTCCCTGCAACCGCAGGAAGTGCTACACCTGCCCCCATAGCTCCTCCTTCACCCCCATCCCAGGCCCCAAGAAGACTTTCCACATCAAGCAGATGTTCACCTGCACATCTGCCAATGTGGTATAGGGCATCCGCTGTACCCATTGTGGCCTCCTCTACATCAGGGAAGCTCGGGGACCGTTTTGCAGAACACCTATGCTCGGTTCGCAATAAACAACTGCACCTCCCAGTCGCGAACCATTTTCAACTCCCCCTCCCATTCCTCAGACAACATGTCCATCCTGGGCCTCCTGCAGTGCCACAACGATGCCACCCAAAGGCTGCAGGAACAGCAACTCATATTCCGCTTGGGAACCCTGCAGCCCAATGGTATCAATGTGGATTTCACAAGCTTCAAAATCTCCCCTCCCTCTACCGCATCCCAAAACCAGTCCAGCTCGTCCCCACCTCAAGCCGCATCCCCATCTCCTACCTACTAACCTCATCCCGGCCCCTTGACCTGTCCGTCCTCCCTTGACTGACCTATCCCCTCCCTAACTCCCCACCTACACTCACTTTTACTGGCTCCATCCCCACCTCTTCGACCTGTCTGTTTCCTCTCCACCTATCTTCTCCTCTATCCATCTTCTATCCGCCTCCCCCTCTCTCCCTATTTATTTCAGAACCCCCTTCCCCTCCCCCATTTCTGATGAAGGGTCTAGGCCCGAAACATCAGCCTTTCTGCTCCTATGATGCTGCTTGGCCTGCTGTGTTCATCCAGCTCTGCACCTTGTTGTCAAGGAACTAAGACAAGTGTTTTGTACATTTCCCAGACTTATTTCAGTTATCACTTCGTGTGTACAAGCAAAATAAGATGTAATAGCAATCTGAAAAAAAGCATTGGTACTGTCTTACATTCAGCCCATCAACAAAACTGTAGTGCAACAACAGCAAGTTGTATTCATATAGCATTTCTTAACAAACAAAATATCCAAGGTGCTTCAAAGGAATGCTATAAAACAAAATATGATACTGACTTACAAAAGGTGATCTATATACAAGATCCAAATGGAAACATATAAAATATTATCCAAATAATTTCTATGGAAGTAACTAAATAAAGTTTCTATTTTTCTACAAAGATTTTAGAATAGATGTCATGATCTAATGCACAAGACTGAAAGCAAGGTTATGCAGTCGCATTATCACAATATCACTTTTTTTCAGTAAACCACTGCTCACCAGTTATTTATCTAATCCTTAGTACAGCCAGAAAGTGCATCCAGCACTGACTCCAGGGAGAAATAAATTACCAAAATTAATTGACTGCTGGAACCACTGATTGGCACAGCATAAAATACAATATTCATCAGGGGAAGTGCCTTCAAACAAAGAATCCATGTAAACCACCTGCAGCAACTGACATTCACTCTCTGCAAAATTCATTAGAAGCTCAGGTTTCTTGCAAGTTAGACAGGCTTCTTTAGGTTGTTCTAAATTTGTTACTTTAAGAATAAAAACAAAGTTTAAAAAGAACTGTGGGTGCATGTCACTGTCTAGAAGAGGAAGAGTGGAAGAAACATGAGACTTAAAGTTTGTATGCAGTCAATTTTTAATTTCGAGGCAGATGGTAGCTCAGCATTTTAACCAACCACTGAAGTGGTTCACAGAAATACTTTTTATTTCAGAGAAAGTATGGCAATACTAATAAATGAAGTATACGATTGTGAACTTCCTACTTTTATGGCTGATTTTCCCCTTTTACAATTGGGTACCATATCATCAGCTATTTTCACTTCTTCTAATATGTCAGAAATATCCTCCCCCTCTTCCCACCCATTTTCGACTGTTCTGGATATAGACACCCACATAAGACTATTGTGTACTGCAATGAATTGGTAAATGCTCCAGTTGAACTTGAAAGCAGTGATATGGAGCAGAATTAATATTGACAAAGATAAGTAACAGATTAAGTATTTCAATGAACTTGTGACTAGATGGATTGATTACTTTCAGCTCCTTCCATGGGATTGGCTTGCTAAAACCTCAAAAGGCAATTCTCCTAATTTCCTGTTAAAAGTAACTGCATGTTTTGCAGGATAAAAAAGCTCAAAAGTAAGGATGGTATAAAAATTGAAACTGTGCAAATTGCTACCTCCTTGTAAGTTTTTAAAGCAAATTCCCAGCAATAATATTTAATACTTTTGAATAATGATTAAATGTTTCCTATCAATGAAAAAAAAATCAGCCAATAATTCATGAGTTCATTTTTAAAAAAGTAGTTTCAACTATTCAATTAAAGCAATGTTCAGCCAGAAAAACTCTAGTTTCACTTAAATCCTCAATTTATGACTTTTACAAGCAATTAATGGCAAAACGATAAGTGTTTCCACAAGTAAACACATTAAACTTGTCATCTTTTTGAATGAGAAATAGCACTCCTGTTATTGTTCACTCCTACTGATCAACAATCAAGTACACAGGGTCCCCTACACGAATCACTCCAGATTTTTCAATCCCATAGTGTGAGCCAATCACGGGGACAGATTTGTAAATGTGTCTTTCAGATGGGTCACACTGACGGTATCTGAAAGAACAAAGCAAAGCCATTGACATGAGCAGTCTTTAAACGCTTTCATACCAAAAGATAGAGTAACATAAAATGTACAGACAATATTTGGAAAGAACCAAAATTAATTAAGGCTACCTGAATGAAAATAGTGAAGGCAACTCATACTAACATTGGTTATAAGAATCAAAGTACAATCCCATTTTTGGTTATATTTTAAATCCTAGACCCACTATAATCTATGTTTGTACCATATGTTTCTGGCTTGAAAACCAACCACAACAATTAATTCATGAACTTTCCACACTTAATGCGATACCGCAGCTGTGCTGTTGATGGCAGGTTACTATATTCCAGAGTTATGCAACACTAAAATATTTATTTTATTTGGTAGCATTAGGCAAAGGTTAGCACCACTAAATAAATATATTTTTAAAATGTGTTTTTTTCCAGGATACAATTATATTATCACACAAAGTACCAGTAGTACCAGAAAAGAATAATGCTGCACTACATAGAGAAGACTATTTTTGACAAGTTGAAAGGACCATCACATCTACATGAAATGGCTGTCTTCTTAATTCTAAAAGGTTACATTAAAAGTGAGAGTCCATAAGTAGGTATGCTTTTAAATAAAATAAATGTTAACATATCACTCTGCAGGTCATTTTTTTTTTTAAAAGAAGAAGTCCAAGACTTCACAAGTTAACGTCATAAAGAATTGTGTTCCAAAACCACTCAATACTGTAAACACGTCACATGGAAATGTGAAATAAATTATGAATTAAATTTTATCCCATAACCTTTAGGTGCCACCAATCAGAAAACTCAACCTGGGTGTGCCTGCTCTGAATAACCCTGATAGCTCATGTTCTAAGAACTAGATGTGTTGCCAAATACATGTTAAATCTAGATACTTTAATGATGCAACCAGTTTCAAGTCTTAAGATTTGTTTAGTTGATAAATATGGCTACATTTTCACCAACTCCATCAACCAGTTCTGAATTCCAAAGTATGCAATGGAAGAGCAGCCTTTGATCCATGTTCAAGGCTGAGTAATAAGGTAGATTTGTGATTTTTAAGAAGTGTAATCAATTGCAGAAAGGGTGTATCTATAGCTTGGTACCTATTGGTTAGCTCAGTTGGCTAGACAGCTGATTTGCAATGTACAGTGATGCCAGTAGCAAGAGTTCCATTCTTGCATCAGCTGAGATTACCATGAAGATGCTACCTTCTCAACCCTGTCCCTTTCCTGTGTGGTGACCCCCAGGTTAAACTCACCATCAAGTGTCTGTCTTTAGTAAGACAGCAACTCTCTGGGATTATGGTGATGTTGCCTTTTACCTATGATCAATGAGTTACAGAGAAGCAAAGTGTGTTTTGCTGAAACTTAGCATTTTCGATGAGCGGAATCATATGATGTGATATACAGTCTGCGTTAGTGTTATGATCAGGAGGATAGTTATAACATAGTTAAATATCATTCAGATTATGCTGTTCACTGGGACACTATGAAGAGTCCCTGGTTGTTGCTGCCAAAACTAGCTAATACTCAATCTCCTTAAAATGAATTAGAAAGAGAATTTGAGATTATGATGAAGAAGAAAGAGATTAAAATGGAGAAGAAAATGTGTGCATATGACCGATATCAGGTGGAAAATACAAATAAGAATCAGGCTGAATACAGAAAGTTCAGAGAGAAAGTGAGAAAAGCATATAACAGAAGCAAAGAGAATGAAAAGAGATTACCAGATAATATAAAAGACAATCCAAAAGTCTTCTACAAGCAAAATAGATGGTAAAGGGAGTGGGGCCAATTAGGCACCAAAAGGGGAATTTACATGGAGGCTGCAGGCGTGGTTGAGGTATTAAATTAATGCTTTGCAAAGGAGCAAGATCTGTACAGGGTCATAGTGAAAGAGGATGTAACTCAGAACTTGATGGGTTTAAAATTGATAAGGGCATAGTATTGGATAAGATGGTTGTAATTAAAATTGATAAAGCACCATTTACCCAATGGGATGAATCAAAGGATACTGAGGGAAGTGAGAGTAGTAATTGTAGAAGCACATCTGTAATTTCCCAGTCTTCCTCAGACTTGGAGATGGTGCCAGAGAAAGGGAGATATGCAAATATTACACATTTGTTCGGAAGACAGCATAAAGATAAACCCAGCAAGACATTCAGTTTAACTTCAGTGGTAGGGAAACTTGTGGAATCAATAATTCAAGAAAAATTAATGTTTGGGGCAAGATTAACGAGACCTTAGATATTTGCAGGTTAATTAAGGAAAGCCAAAACAGATTTGCTAAAGGAAAATCACACTTGAGTTTTTGTAATGCCATTAATGTGATGTACACTGACTTCCAAAAGACATCTGTTGAAGCACTGCATAGTGGACTTATGAGCAAAAGTTCACACTCATGGAACAAAGGGGACATTGATACTATGAATATGAAATATGGCTGAATGGCAGGAAACAGAACACTAGATAATAGATGCTATTCGGACTCCACTTATTGTGGAGTTCCGAGGGTCTTTCTGATATATATATTGATGACCTAAACATAAGTATACAGGGCATAAGTTCAAAACTTGTGGATGAATTGGAGGCACTGAATTGTGAAGAGGTAGTGTATAACTTCAAAAGGACATGGACATGTTGATACAAATGGGCAGACAAGTGGTACATAAAATTTAATGCACAGAAGTGAGAGATTATTTATTTTGGTAGGAACAGCGAAGAGAGACAATATAAAATAGAGTACGATTCCAAAGGAAGTTCAGGGACCTAAATATACATGTGGGGTAGGGAATGGAGGCATAATTCCAAAATGGTTCCCTTCATTTGGCTCCAGATAAACCTGACATAGCTTTTGCAGACCAGATCAAGCAGCAGACAAGGTGCTGAGATATCAGGCTGCATAGCTTTATTAGGCTAAACACTACAAATGCTTCTGGCAGGGTCTACTGCCTAGATTTATGAAGATTGCATTAATATACTCACACAACCCCAATTTGCAACAGTGATATAATTACCAGTTGAGAAGCCTCCTGGTTTTTTCTAAGTCCAACTGCCAAACAGGCCTAACATTTGGTGGGCATCTCATATCCTTACTGTCCGCTCCTCTCAGATCTGATGATCTTGTACAGAGTTGGGTGTCTTCCAGGCACATTTCACATTGGTACTTGATCAGCCAAGATTGAGGCAAGATAATAAGTCAGGAAATATTATTATGTCTCTCCCCCCTGCATAATTTCCATTCTTGATCTTAAATGGAGGGGCAAGTCATTCATGCCACAGAATATATTCCCAAGGAATGCCCAGGCAACATAAAATGGCCAAAAACCCAACAGCATACATACTTATATATTTGTCCTCTTTCGACCTGCTGCATATGCTTATTCTTCGGAGTAAAGCAGATGAAAACCAGCCTTAAGGAGAGGAGTTATTCGAAGTATTCTCACATAAAATGTAATATTACTTTGCGGTAAGTCAAGTTATTTGAACCAGAAAAAAACTAAAAGAACAAGCTTTTTTTGTTCAACAGCTGTTAAGAATGTAATTACCTGCAAGATGGAAATGCAAGACTAAAAAATTAGTTACATTCAAAATTGATGTTAAATTGGGAGAGTAAGGGCATTCAGGGTGAATTCAACGGACTAGATGATTTTTCTTGCACTATCTTTTTATTCTCGGCTTCAAATAGCTCCCACAATGACATCTAGTGGCAACAACATTATTTACTACCTGATCCAGTTTCCCAGTAAGTACTTGGTAGAGACAGACAAGTTTGGGTCATAGTTATGGTCCTTTGTGGAGTTTCAAGCAGTTCCCATAATGGTGTGAGATAGTATATCTATCACTGATTCCATTAGCTCATCAAACTCAATAATCCTCAAAATGTGCTTCAAATACTTTGGGCCACCCCTTCAGGAGACATCCCCCCTTCCATGACTGTGGACTGGATATATTCTCTTTTCATCCCCTACCATCCCCAATACCACCGTCCAATGCCCGCATACACCCTTCCCCCACCCTCCACCACCTCCACCATCACTCAGCATCCCAGTACTGATATGGAAGCCCTCATTTATAAAAGATATGTAGTAACATGCTCATCTTAGTTCACCAAAATAAGAAGTGTAACAGAGAAAACAAACCAATGGTTTCCATGGTTCTGTGATTGAAGTTTGACACAGAAGCAATGTTAGTACAGTCAATCTGTTCAGGCCAATAGTGATTCATGTGGACTCAGGCTGGACAATGAGCTTAGCTTATGCAAATGTTTTCTGACCTGGATGGTAAAACTCATCTATTCAATGCAACATTCAAAATTTATCACAACTGTGAGATATATATGTCAGGCCATACTGGCCTGGATCTTTAGTATGGTAAAGAAGCTATGCAAAATTCAAGTTGTTGAGCAAGGTGCAATTCCCACTGTCTATAATGCATTTAGTGCTGATATCATTTACGTACATAGAATGTTTATATTTTAACATTTTGCATTTAAAGCCTGCTAATTTATTTAGTAACTGATTATGCTTCAACTACCCTATATGACTCACAATAAGGATAGTTCTGCTGGAACTCAGTGGTCTGTAATTCAGAACCCTTCATATTTTCCTGTTCTGCCATATACATCACGGTTATTGTATACTGATCAGCACAATTCACACATCAATGGTTCAGGGCAAATAGAGGCTGATTGATGCTGTTCAACAATTAGAAAATTTTATCTAGCTTCTCTTCAGCTTGATTTTTTCTATGGTTTCATTACCAAGTAGTACAGTAGGTAACTCCATCTCATCAAGGTGCAAGCTACTAACTGAATTTGTGTCTGCTTAATGTAAACAGCAACTATGCAATCTGAAAAATAGAGAATGGCAAATGGTTAGTGCTAAATTTAAAACAGGGGCAGTTCAGTGAAGGGAACTTAGCAGGTTTGAGCAGGGATTACTGAATAACAATCAGGTGCCAAAATCTTGGCCCATTTTATCTCCCCATTACACAGTCAGATTTTAAAGGCATCGGGCATCAGTTGATTTAGCACAGATCAAGTCCACATCCCTCAGGTATGCATCAACTGAACTTTCAAGGCATCAGGGAAGCTTGTGCGCTTTAACTGATAAATGATTAAATGAGTTTGTCTTTTGTAAATACCTCTTGAGTGTCTCCAGTGGCTCCTTCCTGTCTATGATTCCTGTATCAGGATCTACTGTTGTGAAAACACATCTAAAAAAAGATGAAAATATAAATGTCTCAACGTAAAATAACATGGAAAAGTTGACAGTAGTGATCAGCGTCACGTAACGACAGTCCATTGGAGGTTCAATGTCTAGCGTTAAGAACATATTCAGCTGAAGAATGCACTAATTGAGGAGAGAAAGAGACACTGGGCAGCAAAATGTTCACTGCTGTTTTTGCACAGTTCCCTCTTCAATCAGCTGGCAGGAGCCACCTCTCTCCACCCAGATGCTGCAGAAATTGTATTTTGTTAAGGCAGAAAAACCAGTAGTACTGGCTAAGGATATACCTGGTGCAGTACATCCTATGGTACAATTTTGTAGTCCCAATCTGTAGACCTTTCCATGTATCCTAAAAATTAAAAAAATGAAATTAAGTATATGAAAAAAATTAGACCATTGGTGTGTAATTATTTATTATTAAGTCCCCCTCTACCACTCTTTCAGGCTGTGCATCCAAGATTATAACATCCCATTGCATAAAAATATCTTTCTTCAAGTCATCTTTGGGTCTGTTGTCAATTGCCGTACATTTGTGTTCTTTATTTTCTGACTCTTCTGCTGCTGGAATGACCAAAGTTTTACTACATCAAAATCTTTGTGATTTTTAATACCTCTTCCTTGCCTCCTCATCCAAAGGATGTCCTTTACAACAGACCAGCGCTTCTACCACATTGCAGTGAAGTGTTAGCACATATTTTGTACCCAAGCTTCCAGTGAAATATCAGCCTCTCACTTTCAGATTTAAAGTGAAGTGTGTGATGTAGTTGAGACTGCTTTGGGTGCAAGCAGACAATGAAACACTTTTGCTCATCACTACATTCTCTGCAAGATTCTCTGCCCAGCTCGATTTAGTTTTAAAATATGAAGGACAGAATACACTTTAATTTCTGAATTTCCATGCAAATGAAGTGAACTCTTTACCTCAGCATATGGCTTGCAATCCTTCACTACTACCACAGGCCTAAAATTCTCCATTTTAACTTTCTTCTCCAACTTGGTATTAAAATCTTCGACAGTTTCCTCAGACATCATCATGCAGGAACTGGTATCATTATAGACGGTCTAGAACAGGGTGGAAAAAGAAAGAACAAAATTTTCAGTGAAGGATTTCTGCAAGGACTGGAGTAGGGAAATAAGAAACAACAGCAATTTAACCTTTCGGTCAAATTAATTATGATTATTAATACGTTTGGATGAACAGTAAAAATCTACATAGAGCAATGAGAGACTGTTACAGCCCTTAAAAGCACACATTTATTAAATCTAACTACTAACCAAGATATTTATTTGTATTTCAGACTAACTAATTTCCCTTAGGATTTTTCCATGGTTTGGAGTCAGGCTCACAGTTGCATTTAGCTGTGTTTAAATCAATTTGTTCATGGAAGTGGGCATCACTGGCAATGCTAGTATTTATTATTAATCCCTAGCTGCCCTCAAGAAGGTGGAGAGCCACTTGCTTGAAATGCTTCAGGTCAACATAATGTAGATGCACTCAGGCTGATGTTAGGCATGGAGTTCCAGGATTTTAACCAAGTGATGATGAAGGAAAGAGAATATAACAGGCTCATACTGAAGTGAATAATAGGCCAGCTGGAGATTATTTATTTGTAGCATTAAGCATCAGGGCAAGCATTAAGGAAAAATCTCCAGCCCTTACAAAAGATCAAGAACTGACTAATTTCCATATTATTCATTTTAAATTTAATAAGCACACATTGGTTGAAGCATTTTCTATATAATAGCAGATATCTGATTTCATTAGTCTTATCAAGTGATAGGTTGTATTATTCCAAAACGGTTGTCAAGCCTGGGGAGAAAAAAGGAGAGAGCGAGAGAGAGCGCGAGAGAGAGAAATGCACATGTACATCTATACTGAAAAGATTTGATAAAAAGGCTCTAACATATGTTTATGAACAGATAAGTGTTTCTTGACTGTTTTTGCAAAATAGCTCTTTCCTTTCCCAATGTATATTGGGTGATAAATAGATGTATTCCTCTCAATGCAAAAGAAGTTGTATAGCTCATTAAGTCTACTTTTTCTTATGGCTGTGTTTAGCAACACTTTACCTAGGTTAGCCTATTCACATTTGTGTGACACCACCACTGTGCTATGCTCGATAGATTTAAAACGGATCTAGCAACTCAAAAACTGGACATCAGGTGGTGCTGTGGCTCATCAGAACCATATTCACTGACAATCTGTAACTGTACAGGGTACTCACACTTACCAATATTGTCACAAACAAATGCATCTGTGTCATGATGATATAAAACATGACAAATCTTTAAAATCTCATCGATCAACTTAAAAGTTTTGGACTTTGGAGTGAAGTCTTAAAGATCCAATTCAAGAGCGAACTATACGGTAAATGGAAAAGCCCTAGGGAAAATTGATGCACAGAGAGATCTGGGTGTTCAGGTCCATTGTACCCTGAAGGTGGCAACGCAGGTCGATAGAGTGGTCAAGAAGGCATACAGCATGCTTTCATTCATCGGACGGGGTATTGAGTACAAGAGTTGGCAGGTCACGTTACAGTTGTATAGAACTTTGGTTCGACCACATTTGGAATACTGCGTACAGTTCTGGTCGCCACATTACCAAAAGGATGTGGATGGTTTGGAGAGGGTGCAGAGGAGGTTCACCAGGATGTTGCCTGGTATGGAGGGAGCTAGCTATGAAGAGAGGTTGAGTAGATTAGGATTATTTACATTAGAAAGATGGAGGTTGAGGGGGGACCTGATTGAGGTCTACAAAATCATGAGAGGTATAGACAGGGTGGATAGCAAGAAGCTTTTTCCCCCCAGAGTGGGGGGACTCAATTACTAGGGGTCACTATTTCAAGGTGAGAGAGGAAAAGTTTAAGGGAGATATCCGTGGAAAGTTCTTTATGCAGAGGGTGGTGGGTGCCTGGAACGCGTCGCCAGCGGAGGTGGTAGAGGCGGGCACGATAGCGTCATTTAAGATGTATCTCGACAGATACATGAACGGGCAGGGAGCAGAGGGATACAGATCCTTGGAAAATAGGCGACAGGTTTAGATAGAGGATCTGGATCGGTGCAGGTTTGGAGGGCCGAAGGGCCTGTTCCTGTGCTGTAATTTTCTTTGATCTTTGTTTTAAACAGCTTAAAAAAAATAGCTAAAACACTTTAAAATGGTAACCTGACCTGAATGTAGCCTAAACACAGTGGCTCAGTGGTTAGCACTGCTGCCTCACTGTGCCAGGGACCAAGGCTGATTCCACCCTTGGGCGACTGTCTGTGCGGAGTTTGCAAATTCTCCCCGTGTCACCATGGGTTTCCTCCGGGTGTTCCGGTTTCCTCCCACAATTCAAAGATGTGCAGACTAGGTGGATTGGCCATGCTAAATTGCCCGTTGTGTTCAGGGATGTTTAGGATAGGTGGGTTATGTCTGGGTGGGATGCTCTGAGAGTCAGCGTGGGCTTGTTGGGCCGAAGGGCCTGTTTCCACACTGTAGGGATTCTATGATCTAAATTCTCAGAAATACACAAAGCAATGCCAAATGGCTAGGACTGAATAATACAGTTAGAAAAAGGTATGCAGGGATAACTACCTGGACATTTAAGTTCACCTGGAATAAATAGCTCACCATGAGACCTTCACATGTAGCTGTGCCAAGATTTCACGTATTGCTGGAGCAAAGATTTAAATTTGAAACTGGTTATGCAAAGAGAATTGAGCCTGTCGCCATACCCGCCCGCCACCACAGCTACAAAGAATGACAGGGAGTTTTGGCACTGGACCATCAAAACTCTGTTTTCTATCACTGCAATATTTGCTATGATTGGCTGAATCTAAGAAACCAACTTGAAATAACTCCAGAGGCTGGTATCCCATCACTGAGACATCCTTTATTTAAATATGCATAGTACTTGACACTGGTCCGGCTTCCTCAGTGAACAGAACCTCTGACATGTCTGTTTATTTCTGTCAGCCAGAGCTCCCTGATTGGGCCAGATTAACAGCCCCAATCAGGGAACTCAAATTCTATGGGTCCATCTGGTTGACCCTGTTACAATCACTACATTCCTCCTTCTAAGTCCGAGGACGTAAGCCTGTTCTTTCTCTTGTAGCCTCACCTGGGGTGTTTTTGCACTGGGTGTGGTCTCTCTGAATCAGCCTCTGAGACGGGCAGCATGTACCAGACTGTAGCCCAACTCTTGTGCCCGGAGCATCTCAGAAGAAATTCAGCCTCTCCTTCAGGCATTAAAGGCATCAAGGCTGCAACAACCACTGTGTCCATCTCAGACTCCAAGGTTTCTTCATTAGACAGAGGGGCAGAACCCAAAGGTTCTGACAGACTTTCTGGCTGATCGGAGCGTCAGGTGGGTTTTGCTCCTGCCCTGTTTGCTTGTTCAGGACCATTGCACCTTCCCAAACTCTGTAGTTGTGAGATCTGACTTAGCTTCGACCACGCATCTTACCCATGCACACAAGACAAATGGCACTGGGCGGGTCTCGCAGAATCGTGGAATTGCTTCCTGGTCAACATGCAAGGTCACCTTGGCTCCTTGATAATCCCAGACCTGCCTGAAAAGCACTTTTGCATGGACACGTCATTAAGGACTTCACTCAGGCAGCCATTTTCTAATAGAAAATTGTTGAGCCAATCCAGGTGAATCTTTCTCAACTAATTTCACCCCATCAAGCTTGGGCCCCAGCCTTTTACTACAATCAGTGGTAGCTGAACCAGATGCTTCTCTTACAAGACCAGAACAGAACTTGTACCCTTAATTTGTAAAGGTTCCCCGGTGTAGATTCTCAGTCTAGCCGAGGTCTTACGCAAACTTAAGGGATGGCGTCTCGAGCGAATTTTGTTAAAGACTGATTCTGCAATCACTGAAATAGCTGCACCAGTATCAACATCCATTAGAACTGGGTGACCATTTAACCAGACGTTTATTTTGATAGCAACATCCAAATCAGACGCAAAGCGATTTAACTATTCGAAGCCAGATGTGGGTGGGCTTTCCAGGGTGTGCGTTCTACTTGATACTGGCCCAAGTTATCTCACTCAATTCAGGTCCAGTAGGACTCTTTTGCTGCTTCGAGTCCACATACCAGCAGCAACTACGATGGCTTGCCTGCTCGGACCCGGAAGAAAATGCTTACCATTTGGCCAAGGCTTGGCTTTGTTTTGGCGTTTTGCTGGGCAGATCTAAAGTCCCTCTGTTCAGAATATGTCCTGACTGAGGCTACACAATTGCCTTCACTCAGTTGGTGTTCCCTAAGCTCAGTCTGACTGGCAAGGGCGTCCACTTCCATCGGCACACCCTGTAACTCATATGCGCCATTACCACATTTTCTAATGATAAAGCCAGTTGTACTACCTGTTTGAAGTCCAGTTGGGTTTTAGCTAGTAGGCACTTTTGCATGGACACCTCATTAATCCCACATACCAAGTGGTCCCTCAGCATCTCATTAAGGGCTAAACCAATCTGGTCCAATCCGGGAGCTCTGGCTGACAGATAAGAACAGGAGTATCAGAGCTGGCTCAGGGGAACCTGGATCAGTGTCTAGGACTCTCCACATGTAAATGAAGGGTGACATGGTGATGGGATACCGGCATAGTTTAAGAATAAGAAGTCAATATTGTAGGTCCAAGATGAGGAGAAATTTCTTCACCCAGACAGTAGTGAGCCTGTGGAATTCACTACTAAGGCATATTTTTGAGACCAAAATATTGTTTTAAAGAAGGAGGTAGATATAGGTCTTGTGACTAAAGAATCAAGGGATACCAGGGAAAGTAGGACTAGGACATTAAGCCTGACGATCAGCCATGATCATAATGAATGGTTAAGCAGCCTCAAGGGGTCAAATGGCTGCTACTCTTATCTTCTATGTTTCTATGTTCTGATAGAAGTTTGAGGTAGCAGTGGAAAAACTGAACATTCAGGTTTTTATGTATTGACTGATTTAGCTTGAGGAAGCAATGACAAAGATAGGGTTGGTAGCAAAGCAGCAATTATTTTGGTGCAATTAAACTGATGGCTTTGGTTTTCCCTGATTTTAGCTGGGGAAATTCTAATTTATCATGACAATGCCAGACAGGCCGTTTGATGAAACAAAATTTCAGACAGTAGTGGGAAGCAGTAAGAGATGCAGCACAGGATACAGTATAAACATAAACATTCTTCCCATGTCTATAATGGCATTTAGAAAAGGAAAGGGCCCGAGGAAACTTCAGAGCCTAGGGGAGAAACCTTCACTGGAAATACAGTTGGATAGCATCATCAACTATAATCAATGTCCCACACCATGGAGAGTTCTAGTTCAAGGGAAAATAGTGCTTTACAGCAGTCATCATTTCTGGCTTAACCATAATATTCTTAATGTTTCAAGCAAACAGGAAACACTAAAAGAAATTGATGCATGAGTCGTAAACAATGTGAGCAAGGAGAAGACAATGGCAACTACAGCAGCATAAGACAGGGAGTGGAGATTAGAAAGGAAGTCAGAGGCACAGGGGATGGAATCGCCCAAAAAGTTTATTTTGTGAAAGGATAATGACAGCAGTTCTGAAAGAGCAACATAGAGAAATGGTTATGTGCAAGATTACTGAATTTCCTTCTTTAGAAAGGAATGAAGCAATGAAACCTAACATACAATTAAACGTTAATCCTGAAAATGATACCCGATAATACAAGTTAAAATAGTAAGACTTATCATTTCAAAATGACGACAAATCTCTCACATCAAACAAGCAATTTTTGATTACAGGCAAAAATGAACAGTCATAACTGCCCAGTGTTACATAACACTGACATTTGTCCGCAAACTAAGTTTCCATTTGCAGATCGAGTACTGGAGAGGGATGGAGGAGGGTGAAGCTGAAGACCAAAGCAAGCAGAATGCTTACATTCACTTGCATCTTTTAACAGTTGATCCCAGATTGGCAGAGGTAGAAGCCTAATTGTAAGTTCCCAATCTGCCCTTGAAGGCCAGAGTCATTGAATTGAGTAATTAAAATTATTCCTTATTTCCAATGAAGCGAAAGTAAAGTTTAAAATATTGCAATTTCATTATACATGTCAAAGCTGTGCCATGAACTGTAGCAAATTACCTTGTCTTTGTCCGAGAACAGTGGTTCCTTTTTGCTTGGATATCTTGGTCGCATGGCAGGTTCGTAGCACACCAGTCGGAAGGCCTTGCTATTTTTTAAGTAGGTACTAATCCAATGGGCAGCTTCGTCACCACAATCTCTACCTTCTATATTGCATCCCCATACTCTTTACAAAAAAGGAGTAATTCAAATTAGGTTTATCTAACACCATCTTTGGTTAATAATTTCTTTGATCCCTATGTGTAAGCCTGCTTGTGAAGATTTCCTTTGTTTGAAATTCAAGCAAAACTGCAAAAGCTACCAGTGGTATTTTCACCATCCTGTCAATATGGAAGTAAATCAAATTCTATTTCACAGCTCATCCACTTGTGTTTCACCATCAAAATCAATTGAAGTTGAAACCAGCAACATCTACACAGTTCAGAGATCAAAATTTGTCTGGTACTCCCATTCGAAGTGGGTGCAGGCAACTGTGATCATGAGCCAGAAGTTAGTCTTCTGTTGCACTATAATATAGTCAGATTGTAATCCACTTCTTTATCATACCACACTTTTGTTTTGGACAGTGAGGCTCTTCATTTTAACATCTGCCATTTGTGTCATCTCTGTTGATGTTGTTGCAGGGAAAAACACCTCAGGACAATAACTTCTTAATGGTTTTAGGATATACAATAAAAATCCAGAATTGAATTACAATTCTTATCCAACTGAGGCGTAAAATCAAGCACTGTTAATCAACCAGTTATAAAATACAAAAGAAACAAACCATGCACCAACCTATGCAATCTTTTACCCAGATTAAATTTAAGATCAGGGCAAAAGTTAAAAATAAATTGCTTTCAGCAAAACGATCTAACTCACCGCACAGCAAAGTCCGTTTCTATATTAAGTGCTTTTCTATTCCTTTAAAAGTTCACAACTGATAAGTCTGCTTAATGATTCCTTCAAAGGAAGGCACCAAAGCATACACCATTTAATCAGATTTGGCACCTGTAAACACAATCTCTTTTACATGAAAATATAGAAAATTCAGAATCAGTTACCTGCACATCTTCACAGGATTTGACTTTGGTAACTTCAAAGGGACTCTCAGCTCTTCCATGTCTGGTGCATTAAGACACAGAAAGCCATTCTCACTGGAAACAGAGACCAGCACCAATGTAGGCTCTACCCTACCAGTAATCATATGCCACTTCTCATCAACTATAAGCCACTGCCTATAAGATTAAAAGAAATACACTTATTAGAGGATGTTGGGTTCAGCTAAAAGAAATGCTCTAGCACAGAATATAGGCTTGAAGAGTCATGGAAGAACATGTTAGTTTTATTTACAGTACAGCCTCCCATGGAGGAAGAAGTAAAGTCAATTTAAAACTGAATAGGATTAAAGAAGGTGATTTGGTACGATGCCACATTTGCAAATGTTTATGTCTAACACATTCTTTCACCCTGGTGCTGCATTTGTCAAATAAATTGCTACTTTGCATGGATGCAACTATATCAAGACATTCAGCCTAGATATGATTAAGCAACTTGTGTGGCAATTTTGGTTTGTCACTTATGGGAATATTCAATCATGTGGAGTTTCTTACAAGCCATTTTTCAAGCAATGTAATTTATCCTTTTATAAGATTAATATCTCCATAACAACGATCATACGTAGTCCCTCAGGCATGAAATTCAGATTTTGAAGCACCTTTCCTGGTTTTGATCATAATCCTTCTCAACCACATGAATAACATGCCTGAACAAGAATAATTTCCACTCTCTTGAACTTGACTCCTCTATAGATCCTTTTCACATATTTCTCCAAATCAACATTAAAAGAAATTAACAAAAATCAGTGACATAAATTTTGAGAATCTGAACTGTCAGTTTCACCATTCATGAAAATAAATATCCACTTTGTCTATTCTCTACCCTTACCTTATCAAAGGAGCCTTCACAATATTTTGTTTCCCATCTCATTAATTTGATTTAAAAAAAGCTTCTAAATGCAGAGCTCTTACTTCATAAATATCCTTTCTATCCAAACAGAAATACACGGTGTACATCTCGTGTCTTCTTACTTCATTATTCATTAAATCCATAGATATCTAAGTTTTCACCAGATCCAATTCATCACCAATACTAGGCTAACTTTCAGAACTAAGATGTTCTTACTTCAAAAAAGTAAGCTTATTCATATTCCCTTACTTTCCAGGATGATAACTGCAGTTCTTCCCAAAGCTATTCTGCTATTGGCCTTAGAGCAATATGATATGGACTCACAGGAAGCTCTCAATTCCCCTAAGTTACTTCCCATCTTAGTTTCAAATAATTTTGCCTATTCTCGGTCACTCTGTTGATCCTCACAGAAAATAATCCACGATTTTATGTGATGCAGTCAGTAGATTAAGACGTGAAATCATTCCAGCAATGTTAAGTTTGAGAATATTGTGATGAAAGTTCATAAAATATTAGAATTATTTTGGGGAACTTGGTTTTGAAAGGAGAAGGTAAATGAGGTTTTGGTTTACGGTACTGTGAAGTTCTGATCTGTTACTTTTAAAAGAAAGAATCAGAAAGTAATTTAGAACGGTGATGAAAAACAGCCTTTCCAAAAACAAAAACATGTAATTTAAATTAATTGACTCAAACCAGCTGGTGAGATAGTTGCTGCCTATTGTTGTCTTGTGTTTTCCCAATTTACAGCAAGACAGTTGGCCGTCTGCAACAAGAAGGTTGATCTTGGAAGGAAAGATCAATTCCAGCGAAAGGCAGTTTTCATCTTATGGAAACTTTCAGGCCAACTGAACTGGAGAGATGGCTTAAGCCGTTTTAACAGCCTTAAAGTAATCAAAATCAGATGAAAGTCACGGAGTTAGCCTATGTATCTTGGGGACAGGCAGTAATGGAAAGAATCACACTTGGTGCATGTGAAGAAAACAGCTAAAAGGGAAATATTGCCACCTTCAGCATTAATAAGAAACATGAAAGTGAAGATAGGAGTGATACTTCTTCGGGATTGATTGTATGTAAAAGATATTACTGAGAAGAAGAGATGAATATGTCTTTTTGCTAAATAAGATATTTCCAAACTGTCTTAGATATACTGAGTCTAATGTCTTGAAGTTAAATAAAAGGAGATAACAATTGTACAAGATGTGAGCTGGCTATGTTAAATTGGGGAAAGTTAATTAAGGGGATGACAGTGGAGAAGGAAAGGCAAACATTTAAAGAGCTACTGATGAACTGCAATAATTATTCATTCCTATCTGACATAAAAATAGGAAAGTTGACCTAAACATGGCTAAAAAGGAAAGTTATGGATAATATTAGATTCATGGAAGGGGCTTGGAGTCCTTGTACACCAGTTACTGAAAACAAGCATGCAGGTGCAGCAGTTAGTAAGAAGGCAAATGGTACGTTGGCCTCCATAGTGAGAGGATTCGAGTACAAAAGTAGGGATGTCTTGCTGCAGTTGTATATACCATCCGAGAGATCTTGTGCTGTGGTAATGTCCTTACCTCTGAGCCAGGAGGCCTTGGTTCAAGTCCCACCTGCTCCAGAGATGAGTAATAACTTTGAACAGGTTGATTAGAAAATATCCACAAGGCTTCGGTGAAACCACACTTGGCATATTATCTACAACTTTGATCTTCTTACTTGATAAAAGATGTGAAGGGAGTGAAACATAGATTTACCAGACTGATTCCTGGGACGGCACAACTCACTGGAGTTTAGAAGAACATTGGGGGGGGGGGGGGGGGCCGGGTACGATGTGAAGTGTTGTGGTTGATGTTGTCCTGAAGGCTGGGTAGTTTGCTGCTAACAATGGTCTGTTAAAGGTTGGTCAGTTGTTTGAAGGAGAGAAGTGGAGGTATGGGGAAGATTTTTCATGCACAGGTTTGAACAAGACTTATTGGCTGCACAGAAACTCCAACCAACGCTATACACCAGATACATTAACGATATTTTCTTCCTTTGGACTCATGGCAAGGAATCACTGAAACAATTGCATAGTGATATCAACAAGTTTCATCCCACCATCAGTCTTAGCTTGGACTACTCTTCAGAATCAGTTTTATTCTTGGAAACACACATCTCCATCAAGGACAGACAACTCAATCTTCACTCTACCACAAGCCTACAGATAACCTCACGATGCTGCTTTTCTCTAGCTTCCACCCTAAACATATTAAACGGGCCATTGCCTACAGACAAGCCCTACACATACGCCAGATCTGTTCATTTGAAGAGGAACGAGATGGACACCTGAAGGTATTGAAGGACCCCCCCTCACAGGAACAGGATACGATGCTCAACTGAATCGATCGCCAGTTCTGATGTTCCACAGTGAAAAACTGTAAAGACCTCCTCAGAAGGCAGACACCGGATATGTCCGATAGGGTACCCCTTGTTATCCAGTACTTCCCAGAAGTGGAGAAACCACTCCAAGTTCTTCGCAGCCTTCAACACATTACCAATGATGATGAGCACGTCGCCAAGATCTTCTGCATGCCTCCACTTCTCACCTTCAAACAACCGCCAAACTTTAAACAGACCAGTGTTCGCAGCACAATACCCAGCCTTCAGGACAACATCGACCACAACACTATACAACCCTGTCGTGACAACCTCTGCAAGACAGGTCAGATCATCGACATGGACACATATCACACACGGGAATACCACCCACCATGTGCATGGCAGATACTCATGTGACTCTGCCAACATTGTCTATCTCATACGCTGCAGGTAAGGATGCCCCAAGGCATGGTATATTGGCAAAATCATGCAGATGCTACAACAACGGATGAATGGACACTGCACAACAATTCCCAGACAGGAATGTTCCCTCTCAGTGGGGGAGCACTTCAGTGGTGAAGGATATTCAGCCTCAGATCTTTGGGTAAACATCCTCCCAGACGGATTTCAGGATACACAACAACGCAGAGTCACTGAGCAGAGGCTGATAGCCAAGTTCGGTAGCCATGAGGATGGCCTCAAATGGGATCTTGGGTTCATGTCACACTACAGGTGACCCCACCAGACCACACACACACACACACACACACACACACACACACACACACACACACACACAAACACACACACACACATGTAAATCTATGGGATGAATTTGTATTTGCAGATACATTCTACTTTGTTCAAAAAGCAACAATTTAGAGACAATGTGGCATTTTATAAATTCCTACTTTAGAAATAAAACCAGGCTGACTCCAAACTAAAACACAAACAGATTCTAAATGGCCTCACACCTAACATGCATTGTCTGACCTAAAATGTCACCTCTTCTTTACACTAATAAAACCTTCAGTTCTCTCAGGACATTGACTTGAAAGGAATTTGGGGATTTACATATACACATTAATCAATTAAAACCTTCTAACTGATCAAAGATTTAACAGCATCTTAGCTTTATTTAATACATCCTCATCAGTGGTGTGACCCAATGATCATTTACTTATAAATTTTGTGTCTGTTATTATCTCTCTCTCTAACACTTGAAGGAGGAGTGAGGCTCCAAAAGCTTGTGTTTTCCAATAAACCTGTTGGAATTTAACCTGGTGTTGTGTGATTTCTGACCTTGCCCTTGAGAATGTAGTAGCTAGCTCTCTTCTTTAAATGCTGCAGTCCTCATACTGTAGATTGACCCACAATGCCTCGTCTAGTGTTACCATCAGCTGGGATCATAACAATATGCACATTCCTTCAAAGTATCCCCAATGGGAAAGGAAATTAAACTGTTGCAGACCAATAAAAAGAAATGACATTAGTGCTGAGAATTTTTAAGTGGCTGTCACTTTGGGTGCATTTTCCAAGAATTGTTCAATGATGCTTCCAGATGCTTTATTTGAGATAATTCTCACCAAAAGATTGTTTTGAACAATGACTCAGCAAAAGTAGTTCGGCTATTTCACATATTATTTACATTCTATTATTTTCCGAAGTGAGATAAAAAGCATGTATCACGCAATGCCTCAGCCATTTATAAAGCAAAAAGCAAAAACTTCTGTTTATGTCCAACTTTATTAACTCACTATATCCAAAATGGCATGATGGCTCAGTAGTTAGCACTGCTGCCTCATGTCTCCAGACACCCAGGTTCAGTTCCACCCTTTGTGCAAACTTCACACAGACAGTTGCTCATCTCCCCGCGTCTGCATGGGTTTCCTCTGGGTGCTCCAGTTTCCTCTCACAGTCCAAAGATGTGCAGGTTAGGTGGATTGGCTGTGGTAAATTGTTCATAGTGTCCAGGGATGTGGAGATTAGGTGCATAAGCCATGGGAAATGCAGTGTTACAGGGACAGGGTGGGTCTGAGTAGGAGGGTTGGTGTGGATTCAAGTGGCCCATCCCCACACTGTGGGGATTCCTTAATGAAAACACTTTACAGACAAGATAAAAAAAAAACTTTGAGAAGTGTAGTCACTGTTGTGAGCTAAATCCTCCACCTCCCATATAGGTTGAAGAAAGGACTGTGGAATACCTTGGTAGCCGCCTCTCTCGAAAGGCTACAATTGACAAGAAGATGAGACATGAGATCAGCAGCATCAGTTTAGTATTTATAAACAATGACAGCAAATGTTTATGAAAAAATAACTTGTTCTGGACATCTGGTCATGGGAAATCACCATCCCTACATCCAGTCGGTTCAGCCCTGACAGAATTTCATCTATTTTAATGAGATCCCCTCTCATTCTTCTAAACTCCAGTGAATACAGGCCCAATCAACCCAATGCTTTCTCATACAACAGACTTGCTAGCCTAGGAATCGGTCTTCAGTGTAACTCCATCTGTGGTAAATATATCTTTTCTTCTGTAAGGAGACCAAAACTCCATACTCCAGCTGTGATCCAACAAAAGCTCTGTACAGCTGCAGCAATGCTTCCTTGTGCCTCCACTTAAACCCTCTTGCAATAAAGGCCAACATATAATTACCTTTCCAAATGGCTTGGTGCACCAGTGTGCTTGCTTTCAGTGACTGGTATGCATCAATATGTCCCAACCTATCACTGTTTAAATCATACACTGCCAATCTGCTTGTCCTACAAATTGGGAAACTTAAAACAACCACATTGTACTGCATCCATCAAGTATTTGTCCACTCACCCAACTTGCCTGAATCACCCTGAATGCTCTTTACATCCACCTTAAACCTTCAATCCCACCTAGATTTGTGTTGTTACCAAACATGGAAACACTACATTTGATTCCCTCATTCAAAATCATTGACATATATTGTGAATAGCTGGGAGTGAAATACTGATACCCACTGAACCCCACTAGTCAACATCTTCCATTCCAAACAAAATCTATTTATTCCTACTTCCTGACTGCTAACCAATTCTCAATCCATACTGGTATCTTACGCCCATTCCCTTGTTTTGATTTTGCACATTCACCTCTTGCTTGGTATTTTAGCAAAAGCTTTCTGAAAATCCAACTACACCATACTAGTCCATCTCCTATTCTACTAATTACTTTCTCAAAAAGCTCCAATACACTTGTCAAACATGATTTCTCTTTCATAAATCCATGTTGACTTTTTGCAATCCTGTTGGTATTTTCTGAGTAGTCTGTTATCTCATTCTTTAGAATAGGTGAACTAGTCTGGAATTCAGTTTAGGAACTCCCTTTTTTACATAATGGGGTTACACTTGCTGCCCTCTAATCTGCCATGACTGTTCCAGATTCTAAAGAATTTTGACAGATGAGAAGCAATCTCCCACTATTTCCACAGTCACCTCCTTAAGTACCCTACTATATAGATTGTAAAACCCTGAGGATTTATCATATTTCAGTACCATTAATTTCTCAACCAATTTCTTTGTAAATAATACTAATTTCCTTAAATTCTTCCTTCCCAATAGTCCATAATGTCCCAGAATGCTAGAGAACTTGTGTCCTCTTCTGCGAAGACAAAACTAAAGTACTTGCTTAATTGCTTTGCCATTTCATTGCTCTACATTATAAATGCCCCCATTTCAGAGCATAAGCAATTACATTTGTCTTCACTAAGACTTTAAAATATTTACAGGAGTTCTTACCATCCAGTTTTATGGCTCTCGCAAGTTTATTCTTACACTCCATTTCTCCCCGCTCTTAAACTTGTGGTTCTTTTTGCTGAATTCTAAACTGCTCACAGTCCTCAGGCTTGTTATTTCTGTTACTTGTTCAAGCAACTTTAAAATATTGGAATATTATGACAAGTCCATGTGCTATCTCCACCCACAATTCCTTTAGTAACTTGGGATGGAAGACATGTGGGCCAGGTGAATTATCCACTCTAAACACTGGCAGCCTTTCCAACACACCTTTGCCTATCAATTTTCACGCTGGCCATTACTCCTATCTCGATCTACTTTTTTGAATATTCTGTCTGTATCTATTTTCATGAAGGAAGAGGATACTAAGTGCTTATTAGGTGTTCAAGCTTTGTCCTGTGCCTTTAAGTATATAGCACCCTGTTTGTCCTTAATTGACCCCACCATACCTCTTACCATCCTATTATTTACTCGCTGGTAGAAAGCGTTAGAATTCTCTTTGCTGTTAACTAGAGAGTTTATTCTCTCTACGCCAATTTTATCATTCTCTTCAACTCCCCTCTCAGCATAATGTCCTTAGCCTGGTTCCTGCTTGAAGAATTCACCCAACACACATCATGCAACCTTTTTTAAATCACATTCTCTGCCTCCCTTGACATCAGTGTTTGGTTCCCCCAACCTTTCATTTTTGTTTTGGAATCTAGTCTCAATCCAAAGCATCCTCTACTTAAAGATCACTCATAGGTCCATGACAGATTTTCTTGTCAATCTTTGTTTTCATTTTAGACTGGCCACATCCCTGCTCATGCCATTTAAATTAGCACTCTTAAAAAAACATTAATTTAGTTTGTACCTTGCTCTTCTCCATTACTAAACTAAACCTTGTGATACAAATGCACTCTTATTCAAGTGCTGCCCCATAAGTAGTTGGTCCAAGTGGGACATTCCCAAGTACTAGATCTAACAATGCCTCCTCATAGCTGGATGGAGAAAGTGCTAGTCAACAGTCATCCTGAACACATTTCAGAAATTCCTTCCCCACTCCCTTCTTCACTACAGTCTAATATTATCCCAATTGATATTTCAGTAATTAAAATCCCATATTATCATTGTTCTACAATGCTAGCACATCTGTTTTCTCCACTGATTTGTTCCTCCATCTCTCACACTATTTGAAGTTGTATAGGATTATCCACATGAAACTACCATTGCAGCACAACAGCCTACTATTCTCCAGCTTTATGTGCCAAAGCTACATCCACTACAGGCCAACTGTGATCGTTATTTACTGCTCATTCAACTCCACAACATACAATAAGCCTTCGATGCACTGTTGAAGAAGAGCTGTACCTTTGGAGATGCCAACATTTGGCTTAGATGTTAACCCATGGCCCTATTTGCGAAATTTGGTGGATGTAAAAAAGAATCCCACAGTAGTGGTTCAAAGAGGAACAGGGAGTTATCCTCAGTGTTCTGGCCAATACTTATCCCTCTATCAAAATGCCCTAAAGACACATTATCTGGCCATTATCCAAAGTGCTCTTTGTGAGAGCTTGCTGTGGGCCACACATTTCTTACGTTGCAACAATGATTACACACCAAAAATACTTCATTAGCTGTAAAATGCTTTAGAACGTCTGCTGGTCAGGAGAAGTGTTAGTAAATAAGTGCAAGTCTTCGTTTCAATCCTTATTACCTTACGCCCTTGCACAAACAAAGCTACTACGCCTCGCGTTCATTCAAACGTTTCTTTGACCTTGATATATTTAATTTGGAGCATCTGGAGCCCAGATTTAGTAGCTGGAGAACAGGATATTGTTCGAGACAACAGTGAATAGCTCAAATTAACAGACACCTTCAGTGAAACTTCATACAAAGTACCTTGGAACAAAAGCAGCAGGAAGCTCAAATGAGTGAGATGCTTCATAAAGGATTCATTATTAGTCAAATAACAAAAAACGTTTTTCTTATTAGTCATAGAGGTCTATAGCACAGAAAAAGACACTTCGAGTCTGCGCCGGTCAAAAACAACCAAAACTATTCTAATCCCATTTTCCCAGCACAATTATTAAAACTGGTATGTATCCAAATACCTTTCCTACGTGTTCAAACGGGTAGCAATTAATACCTCATCATACATCTCATGCTAACGGAAAAACATTTTTTATGAAACATCTAAGGACAGTCTAATTAAAGCACTGTTACAACTTGCTCTGTTTGTCCCGGAACAAAAAAATGTTGCCAACCGACACGTCTTGTGAAAATAAGTCTGAGGCCAAACATAGCTGGACACTCACTTTCAATTTTCAAAATATGGTTCTTAGCGGGGGTAGGATGGAATCAATGCAAGAGAATGGAAAACAAAAAACTTATAAAGTTTTTAATACCTGTCCTTCAGCGGGCCCTTCTGCAGTCCCAGTTCATTAACCTCCACCTCAGTCAGCGGAATTCCTTTGCATGATTTGACCGGGTAAATGAAGAGTCTAGAGACCTCGGCCACTTTGACCAGTTTGGGCTCAGGGTGACTTTGCCGGTAAGCCTGCAGGAGACGCCTGAGCCCGAGCACGGCCAGCCCCAGGCCGGCTGCTCCAGCAAGCCCTGTAGCTACCGCCAGCATCGCGTGCCGCGGAGTCTCTGCACGAACCTCGACAAAGCGGTTCATCGGCAGGCAGCTACTGCACGGAGACGCCCAGGTCACAAACAAGTCAACGCTGTGGGCACCGCTTCTCCCACCCTCACAAACTCTTCCTTCCCTCTGCAATCGTCCCACTTCCAGGGAGTCCTGTCAACGTCGATCGCAAGTCGGGGGAAGAAAAAATGGAGGTGGGTTTACAAACAATTAGACGTCCCCGGGCCGTTTCCTCCACGTTGTGCTTCTCTCTGGATTAAATTGTTTACATTAGCCAGTTTAGATGCAAGATTAAATACTTGTCGGTTTTGTTTCCAGTAAACCCTTTAATGCGATCCAAATCCAAATGTCATTGCAGAACCAAGGTCCGAATTTCAAATCACTCCGTTGTTATCGGGAATGCGTGTATAGCAACGAAGTTGCAGTAAATGTACTTGAAAGGTTTGTATCAACACATGTCACAATCGTGCAATTGGTACTGCCAAAGTTGGTGTGCAAAATAAAACCTTGTTATTTGTATCGTTTCTGTGTCAATATTGGGTCAATCCTGAGATTTATCATCAACATCCAGGAAACGCTTACCAAGGGTTGATGCGTCCAAAGGTCAAATTGCTTCTGTCGTAAGAGTTGCAGGACATAGCGTGACCAAGTTTTAACTAATTTGCTGCCCAAACACACTGTTTTCCTTTAGTTCTAATCAAACCTCAGTGGTTCAAGAAGGCAGTTCATAACCAGCTTCTCAAAGGCAACTAGAGACAGGTAATAAATGCTGGCCCAGCCGCTATGCCCACCTCCCACAAGCGAATAAAGAAATGAAGCTATGTCCCTCAGGAAGTATGGGACTGAGTATTATCATGCTGAGCGGCAAACAATCAGGAAAATTGCCCACCTTCCCATTAACACTCCTTTGTCCATGTCTGAAAGTTTGTTTTAACCACAAATTGAGTTGCATTTATTGGTGCAATTTAACTCCAGCCTTCTTAAAGTATGTTTACTGGTGTTCACTGAGGGGCATTTGCAATTGAAGACTGGATTTACATTCTGAACAAATCCAGTGATATATGCTGAAAACAGTTGTTTTGCAATAGGCAAGTACAATTTAGGACAACACACAACAGCCTTTGTAAAAGATAACACAGTGTGAAGCTGGAGGAGCACAACGGGCCAGGCAGCATCAGAGGAGGAGGAAAGTTGACGTTTTGGGTCGGGACTCTTCTTCAGAAGATGAATTTACCATATTTAATCTGTCCACCCAGCTTGTGATAAATTGATGCCTCTGTTTCCATGAAAATGTCAAATTTTGCCAGATTACACAGTCAGGACATACTTCAACCAAGTCAAGTTGATCAACCTATTGCACAGTTTTTTTTTACTGTCTAAATGCATACACCACATTCCCTTCTCGTCCAACAGGTCAATAACCCCTGCCCCTTGCTTGGGAGAAGGGAGCTTGGCAGAATCTGGCAGGGCTCAAATAAACTGCTTACCCAGCTAGGCTGTGTGGTCTACTGCCTCACAGGAGTCCTCCTGAACCTGCCCACCTTATCAATGGCAAAGTTGTAATTTTTTGAATTATCCAGAGCTACCTCTATCTGTTGATTTATGTTTTCCAGTGTGATGAAATTCTTCACCTCCACCTGAGGCTGCATCACATCCTGCTTGTCCTCCTTGAGGAAGTTATTCCTTCTCTTTTCACTGTAGGTGGCTGCCTAGTGTTTCTTCACCTGCTGCTCTCCTACCCTTCACTGGAGTCACTCTGTACGGATTTTTCGGAGTTGTTTGTTCTCTAGATTGTTGAAAGCATGGATTCTGATATTATTTGGCTTCTTGCTGTTCATCAGATAGTGAGCCTACCTCTTCAGCTTACTCCGTGACAGTCCACACAAGCTTCAACATCTAAAGTCAGCTGTCCTTCACTCACTTCTTAACTTCATTGTATCACCTCCTGTTTTTCGGTGTGGCAACAAAATAAAATTCTTACTTGTACTCAGGCCAACCTTCAGTAAAATTTGTCAACAGGGGCACTTGAAGTGTCATAAAATTCAAGGCTATGGGCCCAACGCAGGGAAGTAGGACTAGTGTAGGTAGTAGTATTTTTTGTCAGTACAGACTGGGTGGGCTAAAGGGCCTCTTCTATACTGTATGATACTAGGATTCTAGGAGAAGTTACCTATTATTTTGTACTGTATTCATTCATAATGCTAACCCCTCCATTCTTGCAACCTACCACACCATCTTCAATCTTTCTGTCCTTCCAAATATTTGATAACATGTTGTCACCTTAAATTTGTGCCCATCTTTCTCTGAACTTCCTGTTTGAATCCTTCCCACCCTTCCACCCTGCCATAGTAATAAAAGACACAAATCATATCCTCTGTAACTGGAAAAGGTATATGCTCCCTCCTCATTGTTCTTGATCCGTCTGCAGTCTTTTACATGATTGATCACATCATCTTCCTCCAACACTTTCCACCATTGACCAGCTAAGTGGAATTGCACTCACCTGGGTTCCATTTCTTAAGAATTTAATCATAACCAGAGAATCACCAATTCAAAAGGACCAAGCATATCTCCTGCAAGCTACCTCTTGTGACCCCTCCTATTTTTCATCCATGTACTGCTGCTCATTGACATTAGTCCAAATCATCCAATGTCCAAGCAGCAAAATCTGGATTTAAGCTGCTATGGTGCAGCAGGACCCTGAGGAATCCTGCTACATGTCCATGTGTTGCAATTGCCCAGGAAGATTAAATTTACCATGGGCTAATTTGTGCTGCCTAGGACACTATGTGAAGTCTCTGACACTGATCTCTGTATCAGAAAAGCGAACTAGATGTGTGGAAATTACCTAAATATATTTACCCTGAAAATGTTACACTAATTACAATCTGATATAACTCAGAGATTAGCCAGGATAGCTGGACACCACAACCCAGCCCAACCTGACTATCCCTATCTCTCTACCATCTGACTACCAAGTATCACAGATACCAGTCTTCAGCCAATTTAAATCACTCCAGGTGATACCAAGAAATTGTTGGAGGCACTGGATACTGCAAAGGTTATGGACTGTGACAACATTCTGGAACTAGTACTGAAGAATCATGGTCTAAAACCTGCCACTTCCCTAGCCAAGCTCTTCCAATACAGCTACAGCATTGGCATCTACTCAACAATGAGAAAATTTGCCCAGGTATGTCCTATATGCAAAAAACAGGACAAATCTAACCTGGCCAATTATCACTCCATCAGTCTACTCTCGATCATCAGTAAAGTGATGGAAGGCATCATCAGCAGTCCCATCAAGCAGCTCCTGCTCAGCAATAATCTGCTCAGTGACATCCAGTTTGGGTTCCACCAGTGCCATTCAGCTCCTGACCTTATTATAGCCTCAGTTCAAGCGTGGACAAAAGAGCTGAATTCCACAGATGAGGTGAGAGTGACAGCCCTTAACATCAAGGCCGCATTCAACTGAGAATAGCATCAAGGAGCCCAAGCAAAACTGGAATCAGTTGAAATCAGGGAAAAATTCTCCATTGGTGGTAGTCATACATGAGACATAGGAAGATGGTTGTGGTTGTTGGAGGTCAGTCATCTCAGCTCCAGGAAATTCTGCAAGAGTTCCTCAGGGTAGTGTCCTAGGCCCAAGCATCTTCAGCAGCTTCAGCAATGAACTTCCCTCCATCATAAGGTCAGAGGGGAATGTTTGCTAATGAATACATAATGTTCAGCACAACTTGCAAAATCTTCAGAACTCCACTGAAGCAGTAACACAGCAAGTCCTGGAAAATCTCCAGGCTTTGGATGAAAAGCAACAAGTAACATTCATGCCACACGAATGCTAGGGAAAGACTATCTCCAACAAGAGACAATCTAACCACTGCCCTTGATATTCGGTGGTGTTACCATGAATGAATCCTTCACTACCAACAGCCATTACAATTGACCAGAAACTCAACTGGAGTTGCCATATAAATACTGTCACTACAAGAGCAATTAGAAGTTGGGAATACTGCAGTGAGTAACCTGCTGACTGCTCAAAACCTGTCCACTATCTACAAGACACAAGTGAGGAATATAATGGAATATTCTCCACTTGTCAAAATGAATGCAGTTCCAATAACATTCAAAGAGCTTGACACCAACCAGAACAAAGCAGTCCATCTGATTGGCAGCAAATCCACAAACATCCATTCCCTCCACCACTGGCTCTCAGAAGCAGGAGTGGGGTGGCACGGTGGCCCAGTGGTTAGCCCTGCTGCCTCACAGCACCAAGGTCTTGGGTTTGAGTCCACCTCAGGCAACTGTGTGGAGTTTGCACATTCTTCCTGTTTCGTTCATAGAATTCCCACACTGTGGAAACAGACAATTCAGCCCAACTAGTCCATACAAACCATCCAAAGAGAATCCCACCCAGACTCATACCCTATTCCTATCCCTGTAACCCTGCATTTCCTGTTGCTAAACCCCGCAGACACAGGGAGAATATGCAAACTCCACACAGACAGTCACCCAAGGTTGGAATTGAACCCAGGTCCTTGGTGCTGTGAGGCAGCAGTGCTAGCTACTGAGCAACCGTGACAACCCATCTTGATTTCCTCTGGGTGCACAGGTTTCCTCCCACAGCACAAAGATGTGCATGTCAGGTGGATTGGCTGCAGAAAAGTGCTCATAGTGTCCAGGGATGTGTAGGTTAGTGGATTAGCCATGGGGAATGCAGGGTTACGGGGATGGGGATGGGGATGGGGATGGGTGGGATGCTCTTTGGAGGGTCTGTGTGGACTCAATCGGCCACGTGGCCTTCTTCCACACTGTAGGGATTCTTTGAAATGAAATGGCATCCACAAGATGAACTGCAGAAATTTGCCAAAGATCCTTGGGCAGCACCTTCCAAACCCATGGGCTGTACCATCCAGGAAGACAAGGGCAGCACATACATGGAAATACCATTACCTGCTAGTTCCCCTCGAACCTACTTACCATCCTGACTTGGAAATCTATCACTGTTCCTTTACTCAGAGATAGTAGGAACTGCAGATGCTGGAGAATCTGAGACAACAAGGCGTAGAGCTGGATGAACACAGCAGGCCAAGCAGCATCAGAAAATGAAGAAGGTTCTAGGCCCGAAACGTCAGCCCGAAACGTCAGCCTTCCTGCTCCTATGATGCTGCTTGGCCTGCTGTGTTCATCCAGCTCTACACCTTGTTACCTCAGATTCTCCAGCATCTGCAGTTCCTACTCTCTGACACAATTTTAACCCCACTGCGAAGCCTCTTCTAAGGATGCCTACCCTGAAGAAGTAACCCTCCTCCCTCTGGACAAACCTCAGGGGATCTTTCTCCCACTGCAACTCTCTCGTAATCTCTTCGGCCTTGAAACTGCTCGACCATGTCCTGAAGCAAACATTTTCTGAAGAAGGGTCTAGGCCCGAAACGTCAGCCTTCCTGCTTCTATGATACTGCTTGGCTTGCTGTGTTCATCCACCTCTACGCCTTGTTGTCTCACTGTTCCTTTACTGTTGCTG